CAGTTTGGATATTATATTTGCTCCCAAGCACACGGCATTCGCGTTCTTGGCTATGCTTGCCAGGTAACGTGACCTTTGTTTTTATGCTCCTAACTCTTCTTGACTCCTATAGACATTTCTGTTCGCGAGTATAGAGTTTTTATTCAGTATATGCTTTTCTTTTATTTAGACTACTTTTGGCTGCCCTTCATTATAATGAAAACAGTGACAGACTGCAAGCTGTAACTAAGGAAGGCAAGCCCTGTTACTCCATCCGCTTTCCCAAGCATAAAAAAGGGGAATACTCTGTTCGCAAGGAGAAGACTGCTGCCAAATATGGTAACCATTGCGATGTGAAGTGCATGCAGTCCGAAGTGCAAAGAAAAAAAAAAAAAAGATACACCCTTCTTTTTTTTTGGCAGGTTACACGGAGACTCTACTTAATGTTCTGGTGCGAGAGTATGAAGAGGACCAAACGTCTTTAAAAAATTCTATCCAGGATCTCAGGGAAAACATGCCTCCACCACTCACAGCTTCCTTTGAGAAGCCCTGCAAAGAAACAGCAGTTGAACAGTTGGTCACGCGATTTGCACATTAGTAGTAAGAGAATATGAAATACAGAGGCATTTTCTGTTTAAATGGCAAAATTTTACATCAGCAGAAGGAGACAAAGCAGGACGCAAACTATCACAGATCGTCATGACGCGTGCCCTGTGTTTCACCGCATGACATTACTCACGCAATATGCCATGAGCATGAGTGCTAGAGAGAATGAGATTTGTGCAAGTCATATATGCCTAAGAATTAACTATAAGTAGTAACTAGCAAAAGGGATAATTTGCTGCAGATTAATTATAAACTACCTCTTTCTATTTTATTGTACGTTTGGTGGCTTTAAACCAGTGTAGGAGGTGCCAAAATCCGCAGGAAATCTTTGGCGTATTTTGTTTACCGCACAGGAAGGGAGCGCCACTCTTACTTTTCTGCCAAGATAATTCCCCAACACCATCGCACAAGTTGGCGATAAGCGATGTAGCGAAATTTTCTAGACACGAACGAGAGGAAAAATGTTGGAATAAATATATAACTACGAATATGCAGTAATATATAAACTGTTCATAACTGTTTTATGTATATAGCAAAAATTTCAGAACTAGTAAACATACTCGTGCCCTCTATGACCGTCCGTGCCATGTTGTTGCCTATATGCATAATACGCCGTTTCAAGGACCCAAACATCCAAGCAAGTAGACTGAAATCCTGGATGCTCTGTAATACAGGACATTTGGACCTCCGTCTGCTCTTCAATTTTTTGCCATATTTGCCCTATTTCATGACAACATACGCTTTCGGGTACTGAAGGCATCGTCTGACACATTCCACACTCACACCTAAATTACAATAACAAAAAGTAAGGACCCCTTTCATAATGGCTTGAGTTCATCCTAGTCTCATGATAAAATTAATCCAAAATAAAGGCAAAAGGTATAAGCAATACAATTTAAGTCACACAAAAAAAAATTACCAGTCTGTGTTGCCAAGACGATCCATCTCACTTTCGCTTTCGTCCTCACGGCTTTGTTGTTGTTGTTGTCCATCATCTCGTTGAACTCTGCGAGGCTCGTAACGATAGGGACGCGGACCTGTGTCTTCAGAAGGTTCTGAAGTTTCAGCTACATCGCTGTCATATAAATTTACGCCGTAAAAATCACTTTCGTCGGATGAATTCTGCTCTGAACTATTCGAACTCTCACTTATCGCTCGAGCTGCCATAGAGAGAATCAAGTTGCGCAATAGACTGGTTCCACTCGTGACGTCACAGGTAATTTCATATTGTTAACCGGAAGTTAATCTTCCGTAGAAAACGCCGTGTTTTCGCCTTAGGAACATCGAATTGGCAAAAAATAATAGCAGAATCGTTTTTAGAATATGTTTTTACATATAAGGGGATAAACTTGTATTTTTGGGTTTACATGCCCTTTAAGGAAAGAGTTAATATTCGTTATTGCTAAAGCATTTATTGGCAGCTCTCACAGGACAGCACTTGAGGTAGTCAAGGAGAGACAAGGTATTAAGGCATATAGCGCGTGAGTTTACTTTATGGGTGAGCGAAAACTGGTCTTAACATAGCTTAATAAGTTATGAGAGAATTGGGGTGAGAATTGAGGATTGGGAAAGGTTTACTGGAGTCATAATAGTAGTTTAGATTGCATTAGTAGACAAATAATGGAGCAGTAAATGCTGTGGGGCGCTGATCGATCATTTTGCCATACCTTATAATACAACTGAGCATGAATATGAATGTTGATAAACGAAGTTGAAATACACCTAATTAAATTTAACTAACAGGTTCAACGTGGCTGGTCAGTCGGTTCCACGTGCGATTACGTAACTTCTGATGATAAATATTGATTTGGCGTGGAAATTAGTGATTCTTGCTCAGTGTCTCAGGTTGCCCCCCCCGGGGGGGGGGGTACTTTAGGGCTTTTTGGGTTGGGATATGCCGCTGAGACCCTGGAACCCTTAGCCTATACCAGAGCTAGTTCAAGTGAATTTTGCTACCCTATACTAGACTAAACTCCCCAAATCCCCCCTATCCTAGAGTAGCTGTTTTCCAGAAACAACTGAGGTCACTAGCACAGTCCAGCCAAAACAAAACCGATTTGATTTTTTAATATTCTTGAGTGACGATTCCCGGTTTCCCTAGTCTAGACTAAAATCTTCAGCCAATTGATCAGTTTAAATGGAAAATGATACCCTCTTCTAGATCCAAACTCTCTGATTTATATACCCTATCCCACAGTAAACTGCTTGAAAACCATATCCTCCATAGCGGCACATACCTATATAGCCCGTATATGGCAGTACCCCTCCGGGAGCTTGGCCTAGTCCCGTGATCATTCATTTTCCCATACCTTAATAGACTATTGAGCATGAATATAAATGTTGTTGAATGGATTACTTTAAAACGAATTTGACATCACATCTCCAACGTCTACCTGCGAACAGCCTGGCTTGCAATGTGACTCGTCGGGCGCCTGACACGTCAAATATCTGTCGCGGTAGAGGGTCAGAGTCAGTTACAAATTGCTCTGCCTTGAAAAAATTTGTCTGAGTCACTTATCTCTTTATGGTAAAACTACTGTTTGACTACTCCTAATGAACTGGCCAATTTCCATATTTTAGAATTCAACCTCAAACAATTCGAGGCTTTTGGGAATGAACATCTCTAGAGAATTTAATTAAAGATTTTTGAAAAGCATTTGCTATTGGAAAGCTCACACATGAAAAGTAGGCATGTTATTTACCTATCCCTCTGGGGTATGTGACATGTTTACCTGGTGTCGTACCAGGTGAATATATCACATACCCCCTCGTTCCAGTTAAACAACCCTTACTTAATTGTTCTTCAACAGTTTTTTTCATTTTTTGAGATTTTGTACTCATTCTTGTGAGACCCAATAGACGCGTTTTAATTTTAGTGCAGCGAGGTGTTTTTAAGAAGGAAAATTGGTCATAGAATCGAACCTCGGCAAACGAAAGTAAATGTAGCAGCAAAAAAGAATATGATCGCGAATAAATGCCAAGAGGATGAAGAATAAATCTTTGAAAGGAATATCGATGACATGTTGAAGATGCATACATACATATTTAAGATGCAGATCGAGGAGGGTGTGTCTAACGTATTTATTATTCACTTAAAGTAACTCTTAGTTTAAAACGTGCTTACTTCTTCTGGTGTCCTGAGTTCATTAGAATTTTTTTGTTCTTTTGTAAATTTGGGGCACAAAGGATGTTAAGTCTAGCAGATATTCTTTGCCAGCTGGACGCAAACAGCTGAGCTAACGCAGCCTGACGTTCTCAAGGCTTCTCGGTTTCCGTCACTTTTTTCAGCGATTACCCGAATTATTGATGTCTTTTTTAAGCGGGATATTCGCAAACGCCTTCCAAATTTGGTCAACTCTAGATGGTTATGAAACATTAGCCGAGGAATTTGAGGCAATCAGTAATGGACTCAAACATGTACCAGCAACCTTTCGTGGAATATGCAGGTGTCTGAGATGGTGAAGAAAGCATCTAAACGCCTGTGTTTTCTTATATACAATAAAAGCGCCCTTACGTCGAGAAGGCCGAATTGCTTAGGTTTTACACAAGCTGTATAAGGTCTGTTTGCAATTACACGATTCCTGTGTTCCACGCTTCGTTACCTCAGTACGTAATCGACGATTTGGCTCTCTCCATCATATGCCCCACCTAACCTTACGACAACGCGCCAGTTTCCTTAGACCTAGGATTATTACTAGTGGTTCACCATTAGCGCCTGTGTCACTCCCTTTTCGATAAATATCTTAGAGGACAGAGATCACCATCTCCATCACTTACTGCCTGACTCGCATAGTTACACTCTCAGGCATGCCAGGACTTTTGATGTCAGATTTAAAACTTGCAGGGTCTTGCAGGCCCAGGAACTGATTTATTAATTCCCAATGCCTGCGGGTAAACTCATTTTGAATAGCCATCAGTTTTTTCAATAAAACTTTGTTCTTATTTTACATATATATTATGTATATGTAAATATTCTTTCGAGTTATAATTTTTCTTAAATCGATTGTGATTTATGCGTTTTCTATAATTAAGTAGTTTTTATCTTGATTTTACGTAATTTAGATTCTGACAGGATGCCTATACCAATAACGTATTCATCTATCTCCATCTATCTAGTGGATAAACATTCAAGCTTTAATCTTTTTTAGCAACTTTAATAGCACATTTTAAGCCCAAGAGACGTTCAGGCAACCATCTTGTATGGGTTTTCTACGTCGGAGCAAAGGCAAACCAAACTTTACATATGCTTTTTTTGGCTTTGAAGGGAAATTCAATACAATATAGAAATAAACTTTGATCATTCCAAGCAGTGGGGTTGCATGACTGTCCATTTCCTGTGTGAGATGGGTTACCTGTGTATATACGTGTATCTAGAATTAAGTTAAGAGAACAAAGGGTCTTGAAATCCATCGCTTACATTTCAGTTTCATGTGGGTCAGTACTGAACAATACATTGAAAAGTCCTGCATACTCAAATGGCTTCTATGCAGCCAGCATGAGTTGCGTCTACAATACTTCGATTCCGTATGGTAAGGAGATGAGACTCAAGTTTCAAAGTTTTGACCTGGCGTCAGATTCAGAATGCAGGTGGGAATAAATACTTTTAAAATTTAAATGACGACAGCCAAATTCTGCTCTTTTACCCTAACTGTTCCACCTCCAAGATTGAACGAATGCGCTTCATTCCGGCAATGGATAACGAGAATCTATTTTACAATAACTGCATCATAAAACTGTTGCTTAATTATTTAATTACTTACTTCGCTATTTTCTAAATCTCATCCAATAATCCTCATAGTTGGGTTTGCAGCCCTGCTGCACCTCTCTGCTCCAATTTCCCATCCCCTCCCCGATTCAAGATTTCTAAGGTGGCTTAAATAATGCCAGTTTACTTGTAAGTAACCATGCTGAGTTGGCTAAAACAGATGCACTTGTACCGAGCTCAATGTTTTAAATTATTTCCAAAACTTCGAGTGTATAACATGAAAATGTGGGCAAAAAGAGCAATTTCGATATTATATTGAAATTCATTCTTGTTTTATTCATGGCTTAGCCTCATGGTGATTTCTTTTGTTTTATTTCCCTAAGCCTTGGAGCCAAGTATGAATTTTAATATACAGAAATTGGTCTATTTTTCAAGCGTGGCAATTTAAGGGGGCAGTAAGTCTGTTTAAAAGCATTGTTTTTTGTTGATTCCCGCCCCTTTTTTCTTTATATTTAATAACTACAATGTAGCCAGGATTTCATTGGAAATCAAATCAAAGAAAGACTATCGTCAACTCCTGGGTACGTTGTTTAGAAAATAATCAATTAGTTATCACCTCTGGTTTTCCCACAGTAAAATTTAGGAAATGATAGAAATTCAAATTATAAATATACTATCCTTGTTCTGGAAACACAACACTTTTCTTGCTGGTTATTGCACTTTATTAACAGTTATTTAGGTATATATTGAAAAACAAAACAAAACAAAACAAAAAAGAAAAAAAAAAGGAAGATGGAAAAAAGAGGGTCCTTAGCAGATTTTGAACCCGGTACCTTAGGGTTGATACGACTTCACATAGCCACTACGCCATTGAGGATGATCACATATTCTTGTGAAAAGTCTCAAATTTAATGCCTTTTCCATGGACCTTCCACCGGCAAACGATCGAGCCATACTTACCCAACTGAAAAAACGACTCGAAGCAATCGGATGAAATTAAGGCTAATTGAATCCAGGCTACTGACAGTAAAGAACAATGTAAACGCATTTCATGGCAATGAAAGAACATATGCGATACAAAGCCGACACAACTCCTCCGCGAAATAGGACGCAAACATGACCTTATGTTTTATTATCTCGATTTCCGCTGTCATTTTAAAGCTAATGCTCAAAATCACATCCATTTCCCACCGTGATCTTGGGGAGTCCTTAAGAAGAAAAAGAAAAAGTGCCTTTATTTACCATACATTCATTCATACACATAACCTACTAGATTACTACAAGGTAAGAGATCAAGCCAGCGTCGAAGTTGAAGGAGTCGAAGAGCAAATGCTTATCTCCTCGTCAAGTTTAACGCCTGGGCGAGTCAAAGGCTCTTGAATCGTATTAATCTGAAAGATTCCTGCGTGTCTTCAATTTGGTAAGACCTCTATCCTCTAACCGTGGTGTAGCGCACGATGCA